ATATTTGCTTGTTTGTTTATTTATTTAAATATACCTACCTCCAAGTCTACTTTAACACAAAGTACAATTCAGAATGTAAACAATGTTCTATTGAATCCTTTTCTTCTTTCATCAGTTTGCGGTTGCTAGCTTTCCAATTTGTAACAGTCTATATCACATGTAGAAGGAAAGCTGTGTACAGGTAGTCCTTGACTTACAACAGTTCGTTTAGTATCTGTTCAAAGTTACAAGGGCACTGAAAAAAGTGACTTTTTTTTTCACACTTATGATCATTGCAGCATCCCCATGGTCAATGATAAAAATCTGGATGCTTGGCAGCTAGTTCACATTTATGATGGTTGCAGTGCAGTGGTAGGATTCAAGTAATTTAACAACCGGTTGTCTGCCCTAATGATTTCTTCCAACAACCAGTTTGCTAAACTGTTCAGAAAGTTAACGACCGGTTCTCCCAAACTGGGGTGAACTGGCTGAATCCCACCACTATTGCAGTGTCCACGGGTCATGTGATCACCTTCTGACAAGCAAAGTCAATAGAGAATCCAGATTCACTTAACAATAGCAATAGCACTTAGACTTATATACCGCTTCACAGTGCTTCACAGCCCTCTCTAAACAATTTACAGAGTCAGCATATTGCCCCCAACAATCTGAGCCCTCATTTTACCGACCTCGGAAGGATAGAAGGCTGAGTCAACCTTGAACCGGTGAGACTTGAATTGCCAAAGTGCTGGCAGCCGGAATCAGCAGAATTAGCCTGCAATGCTGCACTCTAACCACTGCGCCACCATGGCTCAGTAACAACCCTGTTACTAACTTAAAAACTGCAGTGATTCACTTAACAACTGTGGCAAGAAATGGTCAAAGTTTACTTAACAAACATCTCACTTAACAACATAAATGTTGGGCTCAATTGTGATTGTAAGTTGAACACTACCTGAATATAAAACTACAATTAAAAGATTCCCACGTCACAATTTTAAGTTCCTTCTTTTTAAACATTTGACATCTATAAATTTGCAACTATACAAAAATGCAGCTTTTTAAATATGAAGATTATTCAGCTGTTCACTGAAAATTAGATCTCAAATGCAAAAGCATCAATTATATTAAGATGGCTAATAAACTATTTCTGTTTTCAAAGGAGACAGAATGGATTATAATAAGAAATTTCTGACCCAAAGTCTTACACTGTTTCAGTCAACTTGTCGTTTTAGAAGGAGTTGGGTTGAGAATGTTCCAAAACTAGCTAGAGTTCTGAAGATCTTTGTAAAAGTATAATATTGCTTGGAAGATACCTGTAAGAATATAATATCAGTTCTTTATGTTCACAGGCTGAGTCCATTTCAGCAGTGAATGGAAAATGTGTTCTCTCATGGGAGTGGAAAGTGTTTCCATAAGCAGCACTGTAAAAGGTGTGATTCTGGCTGCAAATAACTTGCTAATGATCCCACAATTGGTTAAATGACTTTTAAGGGGCAAAAGAATGTTTTAAGCCATGCAGAAACTGAAAGCGTTCATTGTATCTCTTAACTTTCCTGAAAACTGTTTTCAAAAGTCATTCAGTCTTTATTTTGAAATGAGCAGCATAAATGAAACAGTCAAACTAATAAAATAAATGCAAGTCAGAAAGTAATATTTCAATTGACTTCCTAGATATAAATATAAAATATTGTGACAAAGCACTACTAACCTAAAGCTACAAACCTAAGAGTCATAAATCATAAGATTATTTAAAGCTAAAGCAAGCTTAAAACTAAACATTCAATGTTAAACTATAAAGAGGATGATATTGGTAACACTGACACTCTTTAAAACTGCTGCATAAAGTCAAGGGAGAAACATAAACCTCCTTGGCAGGAAGTGTACTTCAACAGAATCTTTTCTGTCCATCAGTTGATATGTTTATCTCATACAGTGAGTGAAATAATTAGATATCAATTTCCACTATTTTTAAGACAGTCTAAAGAAACTTAGTGACCTACAGTGGGTTGACATGTGATTGAAGAAAATAATTTGCATATAAAAGATATCAGTATAGTCTGAATATTTTACTATATGAAGATAAATACAATGAGATTTAAGCTCTCAATAAATCCCATAATTTAGAAGAATACAGGCAATGTATCTATAGCTCCTATGCCACATGGCACATACAGGATGCCATAATAGGGTGTTTTCTTATGTCTGCCTTCTAAAACAGCTAATGGCAAGGCTATCAGATTTCAAACGCTTACAGGTTTAAACCGAAAAGAATCGCTTCTTAGAAATATGTTTCTGGGCATGTGAGACTGATCTAATTATTTTTCCATGACCAGAACACGTTTTTGGCCTGCTTGTACCCCAGAGAGATTTTCCAAGAGAATCTGTAAGAATATAGCTTTCTATTTGGCATTGAAATTATCTTCTACTGTCAGAAGAGTCAAAATGATGGATAAAAATATTAATGTTAACCAATAAGGAAAACAACCAAGCAAACAAACACATATTGGAGTCAAACTTAATTACTCAGGCTTACTGTACTCCAGGCTTACACCTTTGAAACACTGAACTGGAATTTAGAAGATAATTCTTTAAAATGTTGACTGTGCATTGTATAAAAACTGAGAGCATATTTTGACAGAAATTAGTTTTAATGCAATAGGGATAAATAGGTGACCCTAAATTAATATTCCAATTACCAAAGATGATTTGGACTACATAAATGAGCACTTCTGTCATTGGAGTCCTGAACGGCAATTTCAAGATATTTAAATTAAAATACATTAATTTGTTCAGTTTCAAGGCCATTGGTTACTACCGGTGAATTCTGGAATACTTAGCAAACAACAGTAGTTTTGTCTTTGTATTGCTATTTCTTTATTTTACAATGTGTAAAAAATAATCATTCAACATATTGGTTACCATTTTAAGATCCTACTTCCAAGGATTATAAAATAAAATGAATCATAAAAACTGGGGAAAACCAGAATGGAACCTGATTAGGGGACTGAAGACTAAAACATATAAAGAATAGTTTCTGGAATTGGGTACATCTAGTTTAATGAAAAGAAGGACTATGGGTGACATGATAGCAGTATTCCAATATCCCACAAAGAAGAGGGAGTCAAGCTGTTCTTCAAAGCAGCTGAAGGGAAGACAAGAAGCAATGGATGGAAACTAATCAAGGAGAAAAGCAGCCTAGAACTAAGGAGAAATTTCCTGACAGAACAATTAATCAGTGGAATGACTTGCTTCCAGAAGTTGTGAATGTTCCAACACTGGAATTTTTTAAGAAGAGATTGGACAACCATTTGTCTGAAATGGTATAGGGTTTCCTGACTGAGCAGGAAGTTGGACTAGAAGACCTCCAAAGTCCCTTCTAACTCTGTTTTCTGTTATCCTAGAAAACAAGATACCAGGAGGCATTTGGGATAAGATAAATGGCATTGGATTGCTAATGAATCATTCATATGACAAATCTTGCTGCACTTTAATACAAAAAAAAATTATCACAAATATTTTTGTGGTATTGCCCGCTTAATAATGAAGTGAACTATCAAAAATTGACAGCATATATTTATTATGTCATAATATATGTAATATAATTAAATTGTATCAAGTTTTTTTTTTGTTTATTTTTCTCCAATAGATACAGAGGTTGCTGCTGAAAAGAAGTATAATGTTACAAAAGCAAAACAGAAAGAAAGAACAATGATGACTGAGGCCTTGCAAGTGCTGTGTGTGACAATGAAGGGTGACAGACCTGGGAGGCTTATTTTGTCAACTTCCAGCCCAAAGCATGATCCCAAACTAAAGGTTCTCCAACAGATGGCTCTCTACCAGGGCCGGATTTAGATGAAAAGAGGCCCTAGGCTATTCCACTTATGAGGCCCTTTCACCTATAGTGAAAGTGTAATTTTAATTTTGCTAACAATTTGAATGTAGGCCCCTCTTGATCTTGAGGCCCCCTCTTGATCTTGAGGCCCTAGGCTGAAGCCTAGTTAGCCTATAGGAAAATCCGGCCCTGCTCTCTACTCTTAAATTCAAACATCCAGCCAAGGCGAATTCATCATCTCAACTGGCAACTAGGAAGTTCCTTCTACTATGAAAACATACCTAGGATTGCACTGCAGTGTGGCTCATTTTTGAGCAACTCAAGACTGTTGACCACAGAATTGCACCTTCCTCATTCTTCCTGCTGTTAAAAACATACTGCCTAATTTTCTGTTTTTCTGGGTGTGGGTGTGTGCTGCGCACATGTGCATATTTAAATTATATTCCATAATCATCTAATAATAATTCAATAATACCCATGTTTCCCAGAAAATAAGATCCTGTCTTATATATATATATATATATATATATTTGAACCCTGAAATAAGCACTTGGCCTTATTGCCATGCGCTCAAAAACCAGATTGGGTTTATTATCAGGGGATGTCTTATTTTGGAGGAAACAGGGTAATACTGAGCTGTTGGCATTGTTGAAAAGAACAAGGAGGATGACTGAAGGACAATGCCTTCTCATCATCAGAGGGATGCGCCATACACCCTCTGGATTGCAGCATAGCACAGTAGTGAGAGAGCATTGGCTTTCTACACAACCCTCTAAACTCAATCCTCTGCAGGCGTGCAGCAGGAGCTGGAAATAAAACCTGCCTACCAGTTGCTAATCCGTCTTTCTGGACAGTACTGGAGAGAGCACTACTGTCATCGGTCCTGGAGGGCTTCTGTCATCGGCCGTCTCTCCAACCTGCAATGCTCCCCGTTCACAGCGACCATCCCACCACCGTGACCGTGCCCAGCCTTGCGACCTCGCCCCAAGGCTGTGTAGAGGAGGGCAATTGCCTGAGGGACCTTAATCCCCCTTCTCTCCCCCCCACCCCCCACCCCGCGCCTCCCTAACCGCGGAGTGGCGACAGATTCGTTCGGACGCTTCTTCGCGCCTTTTCCGCGCTCCCCGGAAGAGAAGAACTGGAACTCACCCTCTTGTGGAAGCGGCTGCGATTGGCGCTGCTCGTGGTGGCGGCGGCGGCGGCGTCGCCGGCAGTGGCGGTAGCAGCGGCGCTCTGGCGAAGCTCAGTTGCCATGCTCGGTCTCAGCAAGCTCCGGGTGAACCTCCGCGTCTTCTCCCCGGCCATTTGCGCCTGAGGCAGAGCCTTTTTCTTAAACGGGTGACTAAAGGCGAGACGCTGTCAGGAAGCGGAACCTGGGACTTTCACTTTTTCCCCCAGCCCAGCATGATAGCCCACCACCCCCGCAAAGGGACGGATGGGCTTGTCAAGGGGGCGGGCGGGGAGGGTGGGGGGAGGAAGGCGAGAAGCCGTTCGAGAAGTCCCGACCGCGACGGGAGCAGCAGCAGCAGCAGCAACAGGCGGCGAGGCGCTCCGGAGAGCGGCTTTGGGTGAACGACATCCGGAGCCTTCCCGCAGTTCTTGCAGAAGGCTGGGTTTGGGGCTGCGAAGAGGCTGAGCTCCGTTACCATCGCCATCTCAAGCGATCAGGGAGGAAAGGGGGGAGGGGGGGTTCGTCAAAGTCGACGGGGCCGTGCGCCAAATCGCAGGCAGACGAACCAAGGAGCCCTCGCCGTTTCCAAATGCATTTTCCTTACTGCCACATATCAAGCGAGTAATAGGCTGTTCTTTCAACACCATTGCTTTGCTCGCCCTCCTCCTCCTCCTCCTCCGGCTTCGTTTCAGCACTTCTAATGTGCCACAGGGGACAGATGGCGCCCACCCAGGATGTAATCTGCTGTGGGTCTGTGCTGAGCACTGAGCTTCAATGTCAAAGCCTTCTTCTGGGGGTTTCCAGACCAAGCTCTTATTTCCCAATTTGCAAAATGTTGGCAAAACTCGGGATCTCTGCTGGCATCCATCCTGTTTTCTCACTATTGTTTTTTTCCCTTCTTCTCCTATATAGCGTGTATGTGGGCCTTCCGAAGTAGTGCAAGATCGGAAGATGTGGAGAGAGCTGGCCCATAGAATCGCCAAGAATTGGACACAACTGAGTGGATAACATCATCATCATCATCATGTATGCCTTCCAGTCAGTGTTCACTTGAGATAACTGCCTGGATAAGTTCCTGAAATTCTCTTGGCAAGATTTTTTGGAAACGATTTGCCATTGCCCCTTTCCTAAAACTCAGAGGGAGTGACTGGTCCAAGGACACCCACCTGGCTTTGTGTCATAACTAGAACTCTTGACTAGAACTCGTGGTATCCTAGTTTCTAGCCTGATGCCTTAACCATTACACCAAACTGTTTTTCTGTTCAGAATAATAATTCTAATAAAGTTAAAGAAGAAAAGAGAAAAAGCCGATTGTAGTTTAATTAGACAGTCTTTTCCTGGGATCCCACCGTTGTTTCCTAGAATATTTTCTCTGTATGCCAAAATATATAAACTAAGGAATAGGAAGTACCTATTGTGCTTGAATTCTATCAATATGGGATACAAAGCAATGGAGATGTGTGAACCCATAAATGTAATATTAATTGGAATGCTTGGCACTCATACTAACTAGCAACTCATTTGTTCCCATTTTGTTCAAATCTCCATAGACATTAGAAGGAAGTACTGTTGACACTTAATCCTTGGAGGGATGAAATGTTGGTGAAGTAGATTAGGCATTTTCTTGCACAGATCCATAAAAAATAATCACTGGTAGTATATCAATAAAATAAGGTAATTAGGTAATTGTTTAATATTTAATATAATATTGTTTAATATTATCTAAATATTATTTTCTCTACCACTCTAAAGATACAAATCCCCAGAGTATTTGTAGGAGGAAAAAGGAGAATTATGTCAGTTTGGTGTAATGTTAAAGTGCAAGACTATAAACTGAGAGACTGTGAGTTCTAGTCCTGCTTTAAGCACAAAGATACCTGAATGGCCTTGAGCTAGTCCCTCTTTCTCAGCCTTAGGCAGGAAACAATGGCAGACCCTACTGAATTTTTTTTCCAAAGAAAAAAGAAATCTTTTCTTTCCAAGAAAACTTCATGCAGTCGCCAGAAGTCAAAAACTGACTTAAAGGTGTGTGTGCCCTCCCCATCCCACACACGCACATTTGTGTGCGTACACACACACACAGACAGAGAGAATGAAAGGAGAATTACTGAAAAGTCTTTATTTGCATATATCCATCAGGTCTTCAGCAATAATTTTCAATTTAAGCATTTGTTTAGTGACCATGCAACGGCACTGAAAAAAGTGACTTATGACCATTTTTCACACTTGGAATCATTGCAGCCTCTTCAGTGATCAAAACTTGGCAACTGGCATGTATTTATGACTGTTGCAGTATCCTGGGATCCTATGATCACCTTTTGTGACCTGATCAATCAATGATTTACTTAATAACCATGTTACTAACCTAACAACTGCACTGATGCACTTAACAACTGTGGCAAGAAAGATCATAAAGTGGGGCAAAATTCAACAATGGAAATTTTGGGCTTCATTGTGGTTGTAAGTCGAGGACTACCTGTACAATGGAAAAAGTTAAATGGGGAGGCTAGATACAATAACAATTGCATAGGTGTATCAAACATGGTATTGAAAGAGATTTCATAAATCGTTCCATCTACGTGGAGATGGAGTCAAGTACTGTTACACTGGAACGGAATATACTGTATGTTACAACCTCATTGCTAGACTTCTGTTCTCTTATAATAGGTTTCTACTAGGTAAGCTAAATTTCCTGACATCCTAATTTGTACAGCTGGAGAGTTCTTAAATCTCCACTGGAGACTTCTTCCTTCAGCTCAGGAAATTAGAAAGGGAGATATAGTTCAGGTTCAAAAGTCCAGAAAGACAGATCTTAAGAAGCTTTGTGCTTGTTCTGAAACACAAGGACTAACTATATAACTACATTAATGCACTTGGATAAGACTTGAATGAGGCATTCCCATGTAAAATTAATGAAATTATATAAAAAGCTGTCTTGGGCAAAAAAATATAGGAATGTAAAGAAAGAAAGCATACCAAATAAAAGCAGTATGTTAGCTTGTGTTAGATTTGTGGTTTGGATTTTTATAAACAATAATTGATAATTGAACCAATTACCCAGAGAAGTAGCGAGATACATTGGATGCATGTAAGCAGAGCTTAGGCAGCCTTCTGCCGTGGACTTTATATTTGGATGAATTCCTGCACTGAGTAGCGGATTGACTCAATGTCCTAAATGGTGTCTTCCATTATATTATTATTATATTCACAACAATATGAAATAACAGTTGCCAGTTATTTAGCTGGTATCAGCCTTCACATCAGGGGTGAAATCCAGCAGGTTCTGGAGAACCGGTAGCAGAAATTTTGAGCAGTTTGGAGAACCAGCAAATACCACCTCTGGCTGGCCCCAGAGTGAGATCGGAATGGAGATTTTGCAATATCCTTCCTCTGCCATGCCCATCAAACCACGCCCACAGAACCGGTAGTAAAAAAAATTGGATTTCACCACTGCTTCACATGCATCAAGTTCTTCCCAAGAACCTCCTAGGATGTTCTAATGTATTGGCATAGTACTGTATATTTGCAGATTAAAGCAATGTGGCTTTTTGCAATTGTCAGATGGAAATTGTATTAATGTGTAGATTTCCTAAATGCCGTCCAAGATTTTTTTGGTATGGCACCAAGTGTGCCAATAACCATTGAGACCACCATGGCTGATTTATATCATAATCTTTCAACTTGATTTGATTTTCAGATATTTTCTGTTTTTCTCCAATTCTTTGTCTTTTACTATACTATGCTGCAGTATTTCCAAATCAATTATTCACACTTTGGCAACTGTGCTAGTGACTGTCATTGTTTATAATCAGTTTATGCAATCTTCTTACATGAGCTGAATATATGATCTCCTTTTTCTTCTGCTTCTTTGCACAATCTGCACTCTGAATCATTTGATGATTTTTTCCCCCAGTTCTGGCCTTGATTGCATTAGCTTAAATAGCTTGTTCTTGCACAGTCAAAATTATGCATTCAGTTTCCTTTTTTTAATGCCCCAGGTATAAGACAGTGCTCGGTTATCTTTATCCACTCTTCCCTGATTTTTTGTAGAAATGGACCATGTAGTGCTTTTCATTGCCAGCATTCTGTTTGTGGGTTTATTACATTATTTTGATATTCATATTTTGTTTCCTGTACATTCAGTAAACTCCAAAGTTTAATTTGCATCAATGCTTGTTCTTGTCTGTCATTTAGATAATCAACCAATGCACACTTTCCTTCATCAGATTATTTGACCTGGAGTAAACCTCTGTCTCCATTTCTGAGGAGCAGGTATGAATATCACTATGCGGACATATAATGCATAATGAATTGTCATCAATTTTCTTGGGTTTGGGTCCAAATTGTCCAGTTCAGCTTGTATCTAGTTAATAATTCCAGCACTGCTTTGTACTACAGATATTTATAGCTTAATGATGTTTCCACCATTAAATTTTGTCTTTAGCTTTTTTAAAAAAAATTTGGAAATATTATTTACTAATTATATCCTTAACTTGTCCATGCTTAATGGTAAACCTACATGTAAAATGCCCAGGTAGTTGTAGAGTCCTATTGACTCCTGATGATTTGGCCATGCAGCATTTCAATTCCATTACTATTTGTAATTTTACCCTACTATAGCATCTTTCTTTAGCCCAAATTTTACTGCCATATCTGTGCTAAATATTCTTACATTGTTTAACAATTATGGTTGTTGTCAGCCAGATGTGTTTAGACAGGATTTGGCATTTTTATCCACCTATGGAGTTGTTCCCAAGGTTCTGAGAATGGCCAATACTTTTGTTTGATGGTGTTAGAGGTATTGTTGCAGGATGTAAGCTATTACAAGTAAAGCTACTTTTTGCAATTGACTGTTGATGATTTTGTCAATGTATTATTATTATTATATTTTATATGGCCATCTACCTTACGTAAAGTGACTTTGGATTATGACTGTAGCCGCTTCTCAGAAGTTGCTAAATTTATTGTTATTATTTATTAATTCATATCCCTCCTACCCAGGACAAAGATTCTGCACTTAAATATAAATGTCATTTTTCCCAAATACATGTTGGTTATATATACTGCTCAAAAAAATAAAGGGAACACAAGCAGAAGACATCCGAGATCTAAATGAATGAAATAGTCTTATTAAATACTCTGTTCTTTACATACAGTAGTTTATACACTGCTCAAACAACTAAAGGGAACACAAAACTACTTTATGTAATGAACAAAGTATTTAATAAGGCTATTTCATTCATTCAGATCTCGGATGTCTTCTGCTTGTGTTCCCTTTATTTTTTTGAGCAGTATATAAGATATTGTTATAATTGTTAGCTTTTCCTTCTTTCAACTAAACCTCTCTTGGTGGAAGAAGCAACCGTTCCATAAAAATTCAGCGTTCTTAAAATAAATTGATGAATAAAATAAATTTCTATCAAAAAAAATTCCTTCTGTTTGATCCTTTTAACAAATCTGTCAGTTTTTCTTTTTTTGCAAGAACCTTCTGTGAATAATACCAAAGATGAAAAAAAATGACCACAATGTAGAACATGTTGTTTCGTAATGTTCAGATAGTGCCATCTGTGATCAGACCATTTGGTATGCTTTTTCATAGGAAAGACTGTACTCTTTTCCTTCAGTGTAAGCTAATGGAACAATGTGTTCTCGTTCCATGTATCAGACCATTATCAGTTTCTATTTTCTGTCATTTATATTAAAAATCTAGATGGAATGTTCTGTTGTTGCACTGTCTTTCTTGCTTCCTTTGAGGCTCTGGTTGACCAAAAGGACCAGGAAGACCAATAGTAGTACATGAATAATATTGCTATCATGGCAACCATATTGTTGTAGCAGGTCCAGTGGTGTGGTTCAGCTGGTTCGCACCAGTTCAAGCGAATAGGTTGTTAAATTACACCACCATCCCGCTATCAAAGTGGATCTTGGGCACTGCGATATGCTGCAATGGAGAAATGGGCAACGGAGCGCCCAGCACAAGGGAAGGAGAAGGACACTTTCCCTTTCTTCTCCCTGCTCTTCCTCCTTCCCTTATGCCTCCCACTCCCTTTTCCGTTTCTCCATTTCAACGCAGAGCCAAGGATCCACTTTGATAGCTGGGGAGGTAATTTAACAACCGGTTCGCCCAGGGTCAGGTTGGCTGTCGCAGGAGGCTCATCCCGCATGTATGGTGGAGCTGGAGGACGGGGATGGGCCATGCTTCCCACGACAGCCAGCCCTACCCTGGGAGAACCACTTGTTAAATTATTTGAATATCACCACTAAGCAGGTCTAATAAATGAAGTTATATTTTGGATTCGATTCATTATTGGTTTAGGCACAAGTGGGTTTAAATTTTAGGGGATATAATATAAGTCTACATTAACAGAATCTTCCAAGTACAGTTCTCCTGCTGCCTCTTTTTACCCCCAGAGAAATTAGGGAGAGTCCCTTTCTTTGCCCACTATTCAACTGGAGACTATCTATCTCTTATTTCTCTGTCTCTGGGTCTGGTCCCCCAAGATAATTTCCACCTACCATTAAAGTTGTTCTGATTAGTGATGTATCCTGAGTGATACAGCTTTTTTCTCCTTCAGCACATCACCAGGAGAAAACAGAGCAGTTGAAGAAATGCAGGTAGGAAAGGATGGATCCGATAACATTGCAACAGTATTTCAGGACTCTGCCGAGGCTTCTTTATTTCCCTTTATCCATATATGTTATCCTTAGTTCTGGATGTGGTGACACTACTCTGATCCAGTTCCAGATCCAATTCACAACCTTGGTGTTCTTCTGGACTCTCATCTCCAGCTCGAAGAGCAAGTGGTAAGTGTGAATATGAGAGCTTTTGGACAGCTCTGGTTTGTGCACCACCTGCAACGTTTCCTGGATTATGACTCCTTGCACTCAGTTACTCAAGACTCAGTCACCTCCCGACTGGACTTCTGCAATGTGCCCTACATGGGGTTACCCTTGAAATCCATTTGGAAAGTTCAGCCGGTACAAAATGCTGTAGCAAGAGAAGTCTTTGGGCTTCTACCTCTGGAAACTTCACCGGTTATCAGTTTCCTTCTGAGTGCAGTTCAAGGTTGGATTGACAGCAGATTCCTCCCTCCTTCCTCTTGCTCTATGCTCTCCACTCACCCATTTTTTTGGTTATCTTATTGATGTATTTATTCCCATTGTGTTCCTTTGTCATTGTTTAGTTTATTGTTCCATTATTTTATTTCTGTTTACATGCCTTTCATTTCTTCTTTTTTATTGTTGTAAGCTGCCTAGATGAGCCCCTCGGCAAGATAGGCAACAAATAAATTTAATACATTTAACTTCAACTGTAACAACAAGCAAACAAACAAAATACCAATAAGATCTTGCTAGCTAAACATAATACATAAAGAAGAAATACATGGGAAACTGGCTACCAGTCATAAAATTATGTCTACAAGTTTTTTTAAATAAACCAAGGTTATTTGCTCTTATATGTTAAATGATAGATGGTAAAATTTTACACACATTGAAGTACTCTGGGAATAGTGATTAGTTAGGGGAAGAAAATTACTTTGTTCCAATATGTGAATGACAATATAAGATTTAAAATTAAGAGGTGGAGACGAGACCGGTACAATGGAATTAAGAGGTGTCAGATTTCTTACTCAGAAATTCTGTTTTGCCTTCAGTACCCAGCTAACTGCAGAAACTTCATATTCATCATGATTAGATAAGCTTCTTTATTACAGAAATGAAAGAAATATGAATGTAGAAAACCAGAATACCACAAAACACTGAAACCAAGTTTGTCCTTCCTTCCTTCCTTCCTTCCTTCCTTCCTTCCTTCCTTCCTTCCTTCCTTCTTTTCCAGAAGCAAATAAACCCAAGCTACAAACAATATATTTATGTTCCTTCATACCTTCCATAGCCTTGAAAACCTTACTATTTAAGGCCTAACTAGCCATAGTAATGGACTCTTTAGAGAGAGGATATGGATGTTTTCTTTTTAAAAATTTATTAATTGTGAACTTAGTCACTTCCTTCATTTTATGACTCATTTATTGTTTGAAATATTTCTAAAGAGATCTGATCAGAAGTTATTACAGACAAATACTACTTTTATAAAAATAAATTATCACAATATTAATATTCCTAATTGTTCCTCATTAACATTTTCCAGTGATGAAAATGTATCAATTACAAATAACCTTTTTTTAAAGTATTAATTTTTGATTGAATGTACTCCTGACTCCCTCTGGTGGCTAATTTCATTCATGATTCAACTAGGACAGAACAGTATATAGAGTATATTAATCATATTATAATCAAAAACTTGATTTAAAATGACATGCATAATTTCCCAAAAGAAAAGAAGTCCTTATTTTTTTCATCAAGTGTAGAACAATTGCTTGATTGAGAAATAATTCTAAACAAGGTTGTTGTATCTAGGTGATAATAATCTGGTAAAATAAAAGTTTGAAAAAGGAAGCACCCAGGGACATTTGCTCTTGATTTTTAACTGGAAGTTCTGTAATTATAATTTTGGTTTAATTATGAGTCAGCTTTCATATAAATGTTCATAGGAAAAGTCATTATACTTCAATCAATGATCAGTAAACTACATAAAATATAATTAAAAAGGAAAAACAACAGTTGCATCAGTTGTTGATTTGTTTTCAGAATATAAAATTTAGTTACCATATGGGTGATAGTTTTATATGCAATAGAATGAGGTTTACAAAATAATTATACATTCTTCCTGGGTATTAATACATCAGGGATAAAATATGATGATTACAAATGTCCCTATAGAAATTATAATATAGAGAAACACGATGAACTGTTTCTGTTTCCTGATTCTGCGCTGGCTGATATATCAAGAGATTGAGGATTTTTTTAAAAAAAAAAACTATGTTGCAAAATTCAGAGGGAAAAATATTGCACTTGGTTTAAAAAAATTATTGACTCAGTTCAAGAAAGGTAAATATTTTGCAAGTAGCAGAGTGCTCTTTGCAACCCAAATTCTGTTATTCTTTGCACGTATTTACACTTTTTCAGTAAATCTAATACTTGTATCAGGCTTATTATTATTTGTTACTGATTTGTTAAGGTTATAACAGATATTCCACTCTATTGAGCTGCCATACTATCAGTCCCCTCTACCACAAAGATCCAGCAGGAGAAGGGCAGTATGGACAACCATGGGATCTGGCAGGGTGAGAGCTGTGAACCATAAACACAAAGCTTTCGCTGTGTCCCAGCATAACAGATAAAGATATTATCAGATATTAAATTTGCTGAGTTTAATAGGGACACTAAAGCAACAGGTCAAGGTAGTTCTGATAATGATAACTCAAATAAGCAGGGGAGTGTAGTCTGAGATGAAAAACTTACTTTGGAAAGGGGAAAGTGTGAATCAGGTATTACTCATCAGTCACACAAGAAGAGCAAGGTATCCCAAAAGAGATACTAGCGACCTTCTAGTTGGTGATTCAATTGTAAGGGATGTAAATTTAGGCAAGGATATGGAGGTTATGAAAGACGTCAGGTGTCTGCCAGGTGCTACTGCCAGCAGAGACAAGAGGCGTATTTTTAAGATAGTCAAAAATGCCAGTAAGGACTGTGATGTTGATGCTATTATACATCTTGGCACAAATGATCTGTCCCAAAAAGATGTACTTTCTGTGCAGAATGATTTCCAGAGCTTGGGGTATGAACTTAGTAGGATAGGTTGTAGGTTTATTTTTTCAGAGGTTTTACCAGCATACAAGGAACGAAAAGGGAAAGGCCAGCATAGGGTGGAGTTTCATGTGTGGCTAAAGGAGTGGTGTAAAAGGGAAGGCTTTGGTTTTATTAGTCATGATATCTACAGCTGGTCCAATGAAAAACTGTACAAAAGAGATGGCTTGCATCAGGAGTGAAATGCTCCCGGTTCGGACCGGATCGCCCGATCCGGTAGCGATGGAGGCAGGTGGTTCAGAGAACCAGTAGCAAAAATCCCTGCCCACCCCCCATTGCCCAGCTGAGCTGCACAATCATCAGAGGCTTTTTTTTTTTAAAGCATTTTTTTCTATAACCTCTTTGGCTGAAAAAAAGTAAAAAAAAAAGCCTCTGATAATCATGTGGCTCAGCTGGGATCATCAAAGGCTTTTAAAAGCATTTTTTCTACAACCTCTTCGGCCGAAGAGATTATAGAAAAAATGTTTTTAAAAGGAAAAAAAGCTTCTGCTGATCAGGCAAGTCAGCTGGGATCGTCAGAGGCTTTAAAAAAAAAAAGAAAGCCTCTGCCGATCAGGCAACTCAGCTGGGATCGTCAGAGGCTTTTAAAAGCATTTTTTTACAACCTCTTCAGCCGAAGAAGTTGTAGAAAAAATGGTTTTAAAAGTAAAAAAAAAAAAAGTTGGCCACGCCCACTCAGTCATATTACCCACCACCTCCACCAAGCCACACCCACAGAACCGGTAGTAACAAATTTTACATTTCACCACTGGCTTGCATCCATCAAAGAAAGGGACTGAGTCACTTGGCATTAAATTCACAGATTTTCTGGATAAACATTTAAACTGAACAGTGGGCACGATGTGAACCGGTAGTAAAGGTAAGTAGAACCCTCCCTTGCCCAGTACTCTTAAACATCTTCATCAATGATTTGGACAAGGGGATAGATGGGGAACTCATTAAATTTGCAGATGACACCAAGTTAGCAGGAATAGCCAACACTCCGGAAGATACAGAAGGATCTTGACAGACTTGAACATTGGGCGCTATCTAACAAAATGAAATTCAATCGTGAAAAAAGTAAGGTTCTACATTTAGGCAAGAAAAACAAAATGCACAGGTATAGTATATGTGGTATCTCGCTCAATAGTAGTAACTGTGAGATGGATCATGGGGTCCTAGTGGACAAACATTTAAATATGAGCCAGCAGTGTGCAACAGCTGCCAAAAAAAGAGTTCTAGGCTGCATAAACAGAAGTTTAGTTTAATTTAGTTTAATGTGATTTATATGCCGCCCTATCTCCAATGGACTCAGGGCGGCTCACAACAATAAAATGCACAATTGCACATTAAAACAATATAAAATTAAAAATCCAATTTAAAACAATTTAAAATCAATTTAAAATCAATTAAGAAAACCCCCCATCAGTCCAGGCTGTGAAACAGCCAGGTCTTCAGCCAGGTTCCTTCGCGGAATGAGCGAAGGTCATCCGGAGCTCCAAAGGAAGTTGGTTCCAAAGGGTGGGTGCGCCCACAGAAAAAGCTCTCCCCCTGGCGGTCGCCAGCTGACATTGTCTGGCCGACAGCACCCTGAGGAGGCCCTATCTATGGGAGCGCACCGAGTGATTGGAGATTGTTGCTGGCTGCAGGGAGTCCGACAAATATCCCGGGCCTAGGCCATGAAGGGCTTTATAGGTGATAACCAGCATCTTGAACCTCACCCGAAGAGCAACCGGTAGCCAATGCAGGTCGCGCAGGAAGGGTGTAACATGGGAGTTTCGGGACACTCCCATCACAACCTGCGCGTCCGCATTCTGCACCAGCTGAAGCCTTCGAGTGGTTTTCAAGGGCAGCCCTAGGTAGAGAGCATTGCAGTAGTCAAGACGGGAAGTGACCAGCGCATGAGTAACGGATAGAAGGATAGAATCAAGATCACATGAAGCGTTAATACCACTTTATAATGCCTTGATAAGGCCACACTTGGAATACTGCATCCAGTTTTGGTCACCAAGATGTAAGAAAGATGTGGAGACTCTAGAAAGAGTACAGAGAAGAGCAACAAAGATGATTAAGGGACTGGAGGCTAAAACATGAAGAATGGTTGTAGGAACTGGGTATGTCTAGTTTAATGAAAAGAAGGACCAGGGGTGACATGATAGCAGTGTTCCAATATGTCAGGGGCTGCCACAAAGAAGAGGGAGTCAAGCTATTCTCCAAAGCACCTGAGAGCAGGACAAGAAGCAATGGATGGAAACTAATCAAGGAGAGAAGCAACCTAGATCTAAAGAGAAATTTCCTGACGCTGAGAACAATTAATCAGTAGAACAACTTGGCTCCAGAAGTTGTGAATGCTCCAACACTGGAAGTTTTTAAGAAGATATTGGATAACCAGTGGTCTAGGGTTTCCTGCCTAAGCAGGGGGTTGGACTAGAAGACCTCCAAGGTCCTTTCCAACTCTGTTATTCTGTTATTCTATGTATGCTTTGAAGTGCTTTGGATATCTTATGAATACAGCATCTCTCTGCTGTTAATCAAAGCATGCAATGTCTTTTTTTTAGTGTTCTATGCAAGCTTGAAATAAAATGGTGCTGTTTTAATAATCGGACTCATTAAAGTATTGTGTCTTAAAGAATCACCTGGATTATTTAAAGCAGTGGCATTTTTTTCAGACTTTTCCAGAAGCCTGAAAAAAAATTGGTTTTTAATAAGTCACACAGAAGTGCACTGTTCACACAGCATCCAAAACATTACTAATACTTTTATAGAACATGCACAGCCCTAATTATTTTTTTTACAATTTATAATTTCAATAATTAATCTGTGAGCACAACCCCTGCTCTTAAAAATATTTTTCTTTTTATCCAAATCATAATGTTTTTGTGAAATGTATCTGATATTCATGTACAGCAATTGCTGGGAGGAAATATGAAAACCAAAATGCCAAGGATAAAAGTTGATGTTCTGTAGAATTAGTATTAATTCTATATATCTTCTAGAATACAGTCAGTCAAGAGGGAGAGGAGTGAGAGGTGTGTTGTATAGGCAGACATTTGAGTATGGGAATAGAAAATTAAGCATCGGTATAACTGGCACTTTGGCCAGTAGTTGCTGCATAGTTTTGGCATAGGATATGCTATTTTGCAAAGCCAGAGTTCTGTTTCCTAAGTAAATTTGTCTTCTTATAATGCTGTTCCTTTCACTTAGGTATATATGTCTGAACAAAAATAATAACTTTTTTGGTAGAAGTTCATTATGATAAACCAAGGCAGGCATATTTTGAAGCAAAATGGAGGTGAAGCTTTTATTTGTTGCTTCTCATTAAGTTCATAGAAGTTTTTGCACTTTTAATATAGTTTTTGACTCATATAAGGGAATTGAATTTTATTAGTTAATTATTCAGTGATTTTAACCAGGTATGTAGATTGCTTCTGGATCTGAAGTCATCTGTTAATATTTTGAATATTTTTAAATGTTTCATATGTTTTTGCTAAGTGTATATTTTCTTTTTTTCAATCTAATTCTTCCCTGAAGAAATGACATTATCCCTGACCATCTAACTAGTCATGGATTAGTTAGTACTTGCATAGAATATCAAGATTGTATCAAGAGTGGGAAATTAAAAATAATGCTAGAAGGAGGCAAGGCCAAAAAACCTGCATGGCTATGTTTATGAAATCACCCAGGCCTGCCTTGATGGAGGATTATTTCTTTAATACAATTTTAATCTTTAATCTTAATTCTAAATTTCATTTTTTAAAAACATAGACAGCCATGTTTACCATCTCAGCTTGCACACTTACCACAAACTACTACTCAATGTCATTTGTTTTCAAAGCATTACTTTCCAGTTTAAAATCATTTCCTGGTAGATTTTTAATACATTAAAGTTGTAACAGTAGACCCTGGCACAGGACAGCCATTGATGATATTAATGATTAAATACTGTATTCTTAAATAAATCTCTGTATCAGAGTAGTGCCAAAGTATTTGTATGCTGTACCTTTCTCAGTACAGTATGTTTCTGCGTATACATTTCTTCCTCCTGATACTAATCTTCATAAGTGTTTGAGGGATCCACACACTCTGTGAAATTAGTGAATTGTTTCCACTTTAATTCAGCAAGAGCAGGTGATGGATAGCCCTTAAGGTGTCATTTGACACAGTCTCCTCCTTGGTCATTTTCTTTTGACAGCTTTAAATATGAATATGACTCTTGAGAGGAGAAATATGCTGATTAGTTAAAATGATTATATTATGAGTGCTCTGTATCCTGCTACTCCTTCCAGGTTGCTGTTACCATTTTTCTACAGTTTTTATATGCTACTGACATAAAAGAGAGCAAGAATACCAACACTGACAGAGACTTAGATTCATGGAGAGAATTCAAGACGTTTTGTTAGCAATAATAGAACAGTATATGCCCCAATGCTCACACTCTTGTCACAGATTTTTAAAAATCATTTTTGATTAAAGAAATTGCATTTAAATTATGCTATTAATGATGTAAAAGGAGCAAAAAAGGTCTTTGTTTAACAATAGTTTATTTAACATTGGCTGAATAAAATACAGTGAGGGATATCAGACAATCATATATATATACTATATATATATATAATACAAACATTATAGATTAACATCTTGTGGGAATAAGACAGGATAAAAAAAAACTATTTCCATACTTTGGAAAACAGCTGTTTCTTGGGCCCCTATTTATACGTCACTACTTTATAAATTAAATTCTGCTGTTCAGCAGCTATTGACTATAAAATGCCCTTTCCTCCTCCATGTTGTCTTATTTAATTAAGTAACGCTAATTTAGGTTGATCAATTTAAGCGGGCAAAAGAAGAAGGGGACGACAGAGAATGAGGTGGCTGAATGGAGTATCTGAAGCAGTTGGTGGCTGAATGGAGTACCTGAAGCAGTTGGTGAATGGACTCCAGAGGACAGTAGAGGGCAGGAAGGCCTGGAGGAACATTGTCCATGGGTCATGATGGGTTGGACACAACTTTGCAACTAACAACAACAACTATCCATTGTATGAGACCAAATGTGAAGCAACTTTGATTGCATGTACATTAAAGGAGAGCTTAGCATTTCCTGCATAGCTGAAGTTAGAATGATACCATTATTTCTGACTGCCTGTGTAAACGTTGGTCATTGTTAACTGTATACAGTTGACTTATAACCTTGATTTATAACCATTCATTTAGCAACCATCCAAAGTTACAACCGCACTGAAAAAAGTGACTTAAAACCAGTCCTTGAATTCATGATTGTTGTAGCAACTCCACAATTACAGCATCCAAATATGGGCGCTTGGCAACTGGCATATATTTATGATGGTTGCAACATCCCAGGATCCCATGTTTGCCATTTGAGACATTGCCAGCCAGTTTTCAACAAGCAAAGTCAATTGGGAGAGTCAAATTTATTTGACAACCGTGTGATGCTCTTAACAACAGCAGTGATTTGCTTAAGAACCATGGCAAAAAGGTCATAAAGTCAAGAATGACTCACTAAACAACTGCCTTACTTAGCAACAAAAATTCTAGTCCCATTATGGCCGTACTTTGAGAATGATCTGTAATTATACTAGATTTGTTCATGCTCAATGTTTCATTCCTGAAAGTAGATTTGATTACTGAAAGGTGAAAATTGATAATTCTCAGGGGACAACTGCTTCTTTTTGGGGATTTCAGCCTAAATAATCTTGTGTATATGGCAGGTATAATATCAGATGCATATTATCTAGGAGTTTTGTGAGTGGACATTAATTCTATTCAGAAAGCCCTACATTGAGGAAAACCAGCCTAAAGAATTGATTTGTGAAGATTCTTTTAAAGTTTTAGTTCTTTGTTTTGTTCCCTTGAAACTATCAAGAAGTTTAGGTCAGGAAAATCTAGGTAGTTATACTTTATAGGTTGTGTTTGCACATTATGCAAAACCTACCTTATGATATTTGTTCAATGAGCATGCTTACCCGAAAGGAAAAAAATATCATATTTTTCGGAGTATAAGATGCGCCTCAGTTTTTGGGGAGGAATATAAGAAAAATAAATTCTGCCTCTGCCTACCAGCATCCATCAGTATTCATCTGGTTAGCATCCAGTGTGTGAGAGAGTTGAGGGCTGTTTGGAAACTGAAACAGTATTTGCTGTGTAAGCAACAAGGATTGATACAGGAAGGAGCCCTAGTGAAATTGTTCTAAAGCTGCATGCTGTGCTGAACTCTGAAACTAAAACTGAAACTGAAACTTCTCTCCTCTGCTTGTGTTTTGCTTGGGTTGGAAAACCTGCTTTTGGTATTGTATATTTACTTTATATTATATATATAAAGAGAAGTTATTGAATCCTGCTGAATCAGTTACTTGTGTCTGCTTTCTGGATGTGATTGCTGCTGCAAACTCAAACAGTCCTTGCAGCAAATAGTGAACAGCCAGGTCAGCTTCAGCACATTAGTGCAGCCTGATTCAGCATGAGCAGCTGATTGGCGGGTGGATCAGCCTCCCGGAATACCCCAATCAGTTGTTCCAGGCTGCAGGGATTGCCACAGACCATCACCTCCTCTGTGCCTCACATTTTTGGCTACATTCTGAATATAAGATACATCAAATTTTCAGTCTCTTGTAGGGGGGAAAAAGTGTGTCTTATACTCCGAAAAATACAGTATATAGTTAGAAGGTTATCGATCCTGACCTGCTCAAGGTTGATTCAGCCTTCCTTCCTTCCGAGGCCAGAATAATCAGGAACCCAGATTGTTGGGGGCAATATGCTGACTCTGTAAACTGCTTAGAGAGGGCTGTAAAAGCACTGTGGAGCAGTATATAAGTCTAAGTGCTATTGCTATTGCTAATATCCCACACATTAATTTCCAGATATTTATCTATATCTCCTCACTGGCTTTGTTCTTATTAAGGCCAGACTCACATGGAGCAACATGTGCTGATGTTTTTTCTTTCTTTTTCTTGCAGTTACACTAAATGAAAAATGTCTACAGGGAACCAGTATCATTTGTGTGATTTCCATGGAGGATGAGACTTATGGGAGTACTTGTGCTACTGGAACACTCATTCTAGGTATATTAATATCTGAAGGGGCTAATGTCTATCCTTGAAATGACATTTTTATGGCTTCTAGCTACTAGAAGAAAGAGAAAAGTAGGCAGAAAAGAAAATAAATGAAGTGGAAACATAATCAGATTAAGAAAAAAGGAAATAACAAATATATATTATGGGTAGAAAATCAGGTAGAAAAATATTTCAGGTAGAAAATCATTTAGCTTAATATTATTTAACTTCATTAAACACTGATCACAAGGAATAATATTGCTCACATCAATAGAAAAGCAGTTTATAAGTAGAAAGAAAATATGCTGTTGATCCATGATTGTGGAACCAACAATGAAGAGGTTTTTTTGTTACTCATCCTGTCCTAGAAATCAATAACATATGTTCCTTTGCAATGTATCTTCCCAAGCAAATGGTTTATTGTACAAATCTTTGCTTGAAGACAGACTCTAGTGGACTCTATCAATACTATTATTTGGAGAAATGTTGGAAGTAAAAATCTGTGGTGAAGTTAGTTTTGATTTATTATTGGAACATCTGTATACAACTTCTTAAACATAAGCAAATGGCACTAATATTTTTTTCTTTCACATTGTAAGACAAAGCACTATATGTAATCCATCATTTACTGCTAAATCTACATCAGTGAGATTTAAGATTTTTCTTTTCTTTTAATTGAACTTAAGTTCAATTTAGATCCAATGCAGTCTTCAGATCCTTCTAATTATTGAAATAGAATTTAATTTTGAAATGTGTAGTTCTCTGATTCATCAATAGGTTGCAATAGGGAGCTAAAGTCAAAGTGAAATAATTTTGCCACTATAAAAAAGATGAGCAACATGTGATATATATATTTTTTGACAAAATATGTATGACAAATCAACCCAGAAGAAATATGTAATACTGTATATCATTCTAAGTTGTGCAATATGGTTTTAAAGCTATAAATCATACTTCTGTAATGCAGATTCAGCGTTAGCATACATACCTATACATCTCAAGATTTAATAGTAAATGTGAAAGATTACAGAATTACATTTAAAATAATTTGTGTGATCTAAATAACTGTAAAATGACATGCAGATTGCGGGCTCTGTAAGTGGAGGAGGTTTTCTTGACTAACAAACACAGATTTCATGGTGTACCTCCCAATTGTAATGGCTGAATTCAGCCAATTTTGAGAGATGGGTGGAAGAATGGATAAAAAGGGAAATAGTCCTTTTGCAAGACAGTATTCTTGCAACAATTAGTGGTCCATATTGTGTAATAAAAAGAGAAACAAATTTGGCAGTAAAAAACCAATTATTACTTTGATAATAAAGCTCTCATTCAGCATTGTTTTATCCATTGATGATATATTGGCATGTGAGAAGTTTAAAAAAAATAGAGAGAAAACTGTATCTCATTCAGTCTAAGCCTCTAATAGCTTTTATCAGGATGCCTGATCCTTTTGATTGTTCTTTTTGTTTCATTTGCTTGTAAGCAGTAACTTCACAGCTGTGCCTTGGCAATAAACTGTATATCTATACGACCCTATATTTAGATTGTATAGACAAGTATTAATAGCGACAAAGATAGAATGAGTGCTGCTTAGCCCCTAGTGAAATCAAACAAAAGAGCTAATGAAGCTCCTCTAATAGGCTTTGCAGAGTGACCAGCTGTACAACTTCATTGGTATTCCACAACAGGGACCCCGATTGTTGAAGAGAAACTCCTAAGAAAATTATTCTTTTTCCAGAGTGGACCTATGGTGCTTATCTCTGCTGCCTTCCAGTGGATAAGATTGGCCACTTATATCAAGCCTATTATAAAAAAGGCAAAGTGTATTAAAAGCCAAAATTGAAGTGTTACAACCCTCACAATAATTATTTAGTGTCACTTTAAAAATTAGGCAATATTTTGAGATCTGCCACAAAATGTTATAGCACAGAGATGTCAAACTCAAGTCGTCATGGTATCGTCACGTGATGTATCGTGACTTTTCCCTCCTTCGCTAAACCGGGCGTGGCTGTGGCCAGTGTGACGCATCTGGCCTGCGGGTCACGAGTTTGACAGTCTTGTTATAGCATGAAGTGCTTTTATTTACATATTTGCCTGCTCACCCATCCTAGGTTGTGTCTCTCAACATTCAGTATCTACAGTATCTGCTTTGTCCTCGTAGATTTTGTTTGTTTGTTTGTTTGGAGATTTTGTTTTGGTTTTCTTTATATCTCAGATACAATTGAAATGGATTTCTCAAATGACTGTGAAAGCAGTTCTTACCTGCCTTCCTGGGGATATTTTTAAATAGCCACACAATGCAAATGTTTTCTTTATTCGTATTTTAATTTTTTGGGGCTATGTGTGTCAATATTTCACATGTGCATTTTTGATGAAATAGTCCTCCTAGGAACTTTTCTTATCTTCTTTGGGAGAGACATTTGCAAAACAAAAGTGACCGAGGCTAATGCTATCTTCTGAGCCATGACATATTGAGTTCTCTGTTGCAGAAGTGGTTGATTAAAAAAAAAACTTGGGAGAGACCCAAACATTTATTGTTTTTACTAGAGACTTTATCTCAGATTAATTGACAGGATATATTGCTTTGTTTACATGCCAAAGGAAATGGCCAAGTTCTTATCCATGCAGGATGAGACTCTGGAGTCGGCTATAAATCAGCTGTTTTGCTGTCCTTATTAATATATTTCAACCTGTTGATATTTTATTTCTTTAAAAAAATGCATTAAAATCTACTCATGCCGCTCTCTCTAACACCTTTGTACCCATTTTCTCCCAAATTCATAGTTTTTAACATAAGAGATACTTTTAAAGTTTAGGTTAATGAATTTTAATATTAATGTTTCTAATTCCCCCACCACCCTTAATGCAGGCTTTTTAGCATTCCTTCCCCCCTCCCCAAATATTTTTTGCTTTGTTTTCAGAAAGGTTCTCTTTCAGAAGAAATAAATAAACAGGTATATCTAACTGGTACGGATTTCTTATCAGAGAAAAATTAAACTTAACAGATTCTTTTTAGTGCTAGAGTTTGAGATCATAAATTAGGAAAATAAAAAACTCTATTGTAGATCTATATGAAAATGCATTTATAAAACCTGCTAATCTGAACTGTCTCACAGCATGGATGGCAGCACTGGAAAGAATTTTTAAAAAATCATTGTGGCTGAACTGTTATTCAGATTCAAAGAGAAAAAGATGCCCTATCATTTATTTATTTGACTGATATTATGCTGCTGCTTCAAGAGTTCAAATAAGCACACAGGTAGTCCTTGTTTATCCATTGCTCCTAAAGCAACTGTTTGAAATTACAATAGCTCTTTAAAAGGAGATTTATGGTTGGTCCTTGAACTTATAACCAACTCAAGGATCAATCATAAATCTCCTTTTTCAGTGTCCCTGCAGTTGAGTGATAGTGATTCAGGAACTTGGAAACCAGTTACATTTACAACAAACACAGCATCTCAGAGTCACATGATTGTTATTTGTGAGCTTCACAGCCCACTTCCAACAGGCAAAGGCATTGGAGAAGCTGAAAGGAAGTTGCAAATCTCAGTCACATGATATTATGCTGTTGTAAATTGGGTGTGATTACCTGATATTTCACTTTAGGGTCAGTCCCAATTGCAGTCAGTAAGTGAGCACTACCTCTAATAGCATTTTCTCCCTCCATTTTTCTCATCATAGAAACAATGAGGTTAGTTGAGCTGAGAGAGTGACTATCTCTAAATCATCCAGTAAACTTCATTGGTGGACTACAACATGGGTTTCAAACTTGTGATGTCACATCATTGCATGATGTATTGTGACTTTTTTCCCTTCACTAAACCAGGGATAGGTGTGGCCAATGTGTAATACATCCAGCCTGCGGGCCCAAGTTTGACACCCCGGACTACAATCTGGATTTCCAGAGTATCAGTCCAGCATCTTAACCATTATATCCTACTGCACCTGCTTAATAATCACAGAAATAAGCATGTTACAGAGTTGCCTACACCCACATTTTCCTGTGCAAAAGTGCAGCATAGCTGTAGAATGTACATTCTTTGAAAGTAGCAGAGACATTGTACATTGTAGCTATATTCCACCACCCCAAAAAATTAAAGCCTGAGTATCTGTGATCCTAACTCATTCATTTGGTTCTGTCCCTGTTGTGGCCCATCAGCGGCCTGTGCAGCTAGTAGCTGATTCCGACAGTGAGGAGCCTGGTGTGGTGATGCGCCAGCAACCTGTGCAGCTGGCCCTCGAGTCAGACAATGAGGAGGCTGGAGAAGATGTTGTGCCAGAGGCGGGGATTCAGCCAGGGCTTTCAGAACCTCCAGAAGCTCCCATAAGTGAAGAGGAAGAAGAAGAGGAGCGTCTTCTTGATGCACAAGCATGCAGAGCTGCCAAAAGGCAGGAGTGGCTTCTCAGAAGGAGGTCTCCTTGAGAGTAAGGCTTGGGGCTAATTGGCCACTCCCCTAGCCTATTTAAAGAAGGACGATGACTGAGGCAATTTGCAGGAAACAACTTCGATCATATTCCTTTGCGTCTTGATTCCAGAAACATCTGATCGGCTCTTGCTCCTTTCTTGTCAGTTTTCCTGCAAATTGCTTCTGGGCATTCTGCCAGCCACAGTAAGATTACAGTTATCTGCAATACTATGCTTCAGAATTGAGTTATTATTCTTTGGATTCTTGTCGCTGTTAATGAAGTTAAATTAACAGCCCTTGTTCAGAAAAGACTGATTTAAACTGTACTTGTGTTCGAACAACTACTAAGAAAACTCATTATTAGTCCTTAATTAGTAAACTAAGGTTTGTACGACTTTGTGTGTGCTGCATTCTTTGGGGTCCGTAGCTGGGGCAGAACAGTCCCAGACTTAGTCTTTAAACTATGTACCAACTTTGTTTATAATCTTTCACAATATTTATAAGCTGACAAGAGTGGTTTTTTTCACTCTACTATGGTCATTAGCAAAGACAGATGCAAATGCTAGTATCTATAAAGCATTTTGGACTGATCAAAGGTTGTTCCCATATCTTCTCTTGTACTAGGTTTCTGCATTAATTCTGACTCCATTGCAGTGATTATTATGGGCATGCAGCCAATCCTTCCACAAACTTGCATTTCTTTGCCGGAAGCTGTTTTGATTAAGTCAACCAGTTCCAGAAGCTTCAAGGACTGTGTCACAGCTGGTAGGACACATCTGATTTCTGGCCTCGGTGTTTTCTGGAAATATTAAATATTCTATAGAGGAGTGGTTAATAAAAAAGAATTTAAGCATATACTGTGTAATTATTCCTGAGGTTCATTTTTCTCTTCTTGTGACTCTTCAAATGTTTCCATCTACACCAAACACTTAGGATGGAACAAGTTGGAATTCAAAAGAAGTTTCACTAGTATTAGCAAAGAGGACTAAGTTCTTCTGTAGCAGTTTGTGATGTAACCAATTAATCAGATATCAAGTGATGTCCTTCAATGCCCTAGTAATCATCATCATACAAAGAGACACATGACTTTTAACCTTTTACACTCCAATGGATTCTGATCATCTGTCTCTGGAACTGCTTGCACTTTTTGGTCTGCAATGAAGAGCTGGTTCCAGATGTATTGTCCTACTACCAGTACATGTATTACAAGCTAGAAAAAGATAAAGTCCTTAATCACAGGGGATGCCTGTACAGAAAAGTGCTTGCTGCAGAATTTATGCCTCTAATATGTACATTAAAAAGAGAATTGAGTTACAGGAAGAAGGAATGACTCACCATCCTTTGATTGAAGTAGAATTTCTAGATAGAGGATTTTCTAGATAGAGAAATTACCATATTTTTCAGAGTATAAGATGCACATTAGTTTTTGGGGAGGAAAACAAGAAAAAAAATTCTGCCTTTGCCTACCAGCATCCATCGGTATTCATCTGGCTAGCGTCCTTGCAGCAAATAGCAAACAGCCTGGTCAGCTTCAGCACATTATTGCAGCCTGATTCAGCATGAACAGCTGTTTGGCAGGTGGATCGGCCTCCTGGAATACCCCCAATCAGTTCCAGGCTGCAGGGATTGCCACAGATCATCGCCACCTCCGTGCCTCACATTTTTGGCCTCTGTGCCTCATGTTTTGGCCTCCGAAAACTCTGTTTTAGACCCTTTCCAAGCTGCGGGGATTGCCACAGCACATCACTACTGATCGCCGCCTCTGCATGTCACGTTTTCGGCCTCTATGCATCACGTTTTCGGCCTCCACATGCCCTGTTTTTGGCCTCTGTGCATCACATTCTCAGGTGGTTTCAGGCAGCAGGGATCACCACTGCTACAGATCTCTGCCACAGGGAACCACCCGAAAACACGATGCATGGGGCCAAAAACAAGGCATGTGGAGGCTGAAAACATGATGCATGGAGGCAGAAAACACAGTGCACAGAGGTGGCAATCGGCGGCGATGTGCTGTGGTGATCCCCGCAGCCTGGAACAGGTCTCCACAGCGTGTGGACGCTGAAAACGGCTGAAGGGTGAGGGCTGGCAGGTGGGCGGAGCTACTTTTGGTGTTTATGACACACCCAAATTTTCACCTTCTTTTAGGGGGAAAAAGTGTGTCTTATACTCCAAAAAATACACTAATGCAAAGATTCAAATACATTTTCTTCCCTTTCCCCATTATTTTGCAATTTAATACAAAGTTTAGCAAGAAAGTCAACAATCAGTTTTCATTAGCCTGATATAGCTATATAGCAGGGTAACATCTATCATGATGGCATGATGGTTCTGCTGGCTAGAATTCTTAAAATATTAATTCCAAAGTTCCTTTTGAAATAAAAGAGTACATTAGTGAACTTCCTTAGGCCTAAAACAAGCCTAGTTTTATTCCCTCTCACACCATTTATTATGAGATGTTAAAAATACAAAAGATGTTAAAGATACAAAATATTGAAACTTTACATAATGTTTTTCTGCTAAAAGGTCCTGCAGAATAAGCAAATAAATGCACCTGGAATATGCACTGATCTCTTATCTGCTTAAGATGAGAATATTAGTGAGAATTACGGGGTGGGATGGAATGGTAGGGGGTGTATTTACAGGATTGTTGCTATGCTATGCTATGCTATGCTATGCTATGCTATGCTATAGTTATATTACTGTTTGCAAGTCTCCCAGAGTTGTCTCAAAGCAACATGGGCAGCAAATGTATGTATGTATGTATGTATGTATGTATGTATGTATGTATGTATGTATTTATTTAAATATCAGATGGATTTTTATATCATATAGACCATTCTTTGTTGAAGCTATAAAAATAATACAAATATTTGTAAACAGATTTTTAAAAACATTTAACTATACTTCTGCTTCCAGCTAAACTACTTATTAAGCAAACTAGAAGTAATAATAGACTCTGTGTTCTCATTAAGGTCTTAATGAAAAGCTATTTTTGCATTCAAATAAAAATCTGAATTTTACTGAGAAAAGTACAGAGATTGCATACTCTATTTGCTTTAATTAAAGCCACTTACTAAATAGCTGCCACCAAAGAAATATCCCTGAAAGTACCAATTCTATAGATTAATGTAGTTAATTCATCCATGAGAGCTTCCTATAATGGAACTACACAAAAATAACTGGCAGTTTTATTGTTCCTTATAAGATCTCCACAATATAACTGCGGCAATGAAAAGTTTTAGCTCAGCAGTGAAGGAAGTAAATAAAAAAAACATTAGTGGTGGCTAAATATATTTGTCCAACCAGTATTTTATTATTTGTAATTATTATCCTTTCCCCCTAATCAAGTCCTTAGCAAAAATCTCTACATATGAAAGTCTCCCAAATATCGGGGATATTCTATTAGAAAAATGAGGCTATGTAAAACAGAGTCTTCTAAACATTTTTTGAAACAGGTAATTCATTCTCAGGATGTTAATTCATACATGAACAGTGCGTGACTGTCCCACTGCAACATATTTCAGTCTATAAGCATACATAGTTTGCTAGTATATCACCTGAATAATGGATACTCTTTTTGTGGAAAGACAAGCTGTGCCTGCTCGTCCGCTAGAAGAAAACTGTAGATCAATTGGTGGTAAAGAAACTTTTCATCTTATCATGTAAGTTTAATTGTCTCACTACACGTTCATGATGTGTGGAATAAATACATTTTAATATGTTCCTTTCTTTGTTCAGTTCCTAAGCCTGAATACAAACTCTGTGATGGCATGCCAGCTAGAGGGAGCTCTCTTATATATAATAGTAGCTAATACTACAGTAGCAGATAATAGAGACAAAGCAGAGTTCAGCTCCTACTTTCCTTTGATATTTTTTTCCTGAAAGCAAAACTGTTTAAATGACCTAAAATGATTTAAATTATTAAATTATTCGTAACAATTGTCACAAGGAGGGAATGACAATCCAAGTTAAATAAAGTGATGGTTAGGGAGATATCCTGAATGACTTTTAAATCACTGAGACTCACTAGACCAATCACTTATAATAGTTTTGACTGAACTTGTATATATAAAATGCTATAAGTAAATGTCATTCTTTGCAAATAGGTGTAGTTTATGTAGAGCTTATTTTTGTTAGGATTTTCTTCTTTCAATTAAACTTAACTCAATAGGAGAAGGATTTCTTCTAGTTTCCTTGTGCAGCTGAAGAATTGAGTTTATCAACCAACATCTAAACTCCAGCCTCAGAAGATAATGCATATATTCCCGAGCTTCACTCAGATCCATTTTATCTTATCTAGTGCTTGATAAACTACTTATTTAATTAAAAAACAATACAGAATAACTGAGTTGAAAAGGAACTTGCCGGTCTTCTAGTCCAATCCTCTGCTCAAGCAGGAAATCCTATTCATTTTAGACAAATGGCTGTCCAGTCTCTTTTTAAAAGCCTCCAGTCTTGGAGCACCTACAACTTCGAAAGCAAGCTGTTCCACTGATTGGTTTTTCTTATTGTCAGGAAATTTCTCCTTAGTTCTAACATTGTTTCTTCTTTGTTCGGTTTCCATCCATTGCTTCTTGTCTTGCCACTAGTGCTTTGGAAAATAGCTTGATCCCCCTTTTCTGCTGGCAGCCCCTCAAATATTGGAAAACTGCTATCATGTCACCCTTAGTTCTTCTTTTCACTAGACTATACATACCCAATTCCTGCAACCATTCTTCATAATGTTTTAGCCTTCAGGCTTCTAATCATCATTGCCAGAGTCTCAACATTTTTTTTATATTGTGGTGACCAAAATTGGATGCAGTATTCCAAGTGTGTGGTCTTACTAAGGCATTTTAAAATGGTAGTATCATTTTTTATAATCTTGATTCTATACAGGGGTGAAATGCTCCCGGTTCAGACTGGATCACCCGATCCAGTAGCGATGGCGGCGGGTGGTTCGGAGAACCGGTAGCAAAAATCCCTGCGCGCCCCCCCCATGCCCAACTGAGTTGCACATTTTAAAAGCATTTTTAAAAAAAATGCTTTTAAAAGCATTTTTTCTACAACCTCTTCAGCTGAAAAAATGCTTTTAAAAGCCTCTGACGATCGCGCGGTTCAGCTGGGATTGTCAGAGGCTTTTAAAAGCATTTTTTTCTGCAAGCTCTTCGGCTAAAGAGGTTGTAGGAAAAAAAATGCCTTTAAAAGCCTCTGAGGATCCCAGCTAGTTGCCTGATCGTCAGAGGGTTTTAAAAGCGTTTTTTTCTGCAACCTGTTAAGGTTGGAGAAAAAATGCTTTTAAAAGTTAAAAAAAAAAAGTTGGCCATGCCCACCCAGTCACATTACCCCACCACCACCAAGCCATGCCACAGAACCGGTAGTAACAAATTTTAGATTTCACCCCTGATTCTATCCCTCTGTTAATGCAACCTAGGATAGCATTGGCTTTTTTGGCAGCTGCAGCATAATGTTGGCTACATTATATTTAAATTATTATTAAAACAATGATAAGTTGTTTAAAAAAAATTCAGAGAGACCTAGGTAAGAAAAGCGTAACATACTGTAATTATAGAAATGTATGTGGTTTCCATTGGCTTGTGATATACAGTGTAATTGTTTAATTCGTTTTCAAACTTTCAAAATCTGTTGAATATTAGCTAAAACTTCTCCTTTGTTTGAATTGTTACTTACACTGATGAAGATTACCTGGAGATATAATAAGTTATTGAATCAATACTAGTTAAAGTAATTTTTATATTCTAGAAAAAGTAAAACAGACACAGCAGAATCTAAGAACTGAACCATAGTTTATATCACTCTTATGTAATATACACAATTTTTATAAAACTCTAGAGTCTAGTTGTTACCTACAAT